CGCCCCCCGGGCATTCCGAGGGCAATTAGCCTCGGCGGCCCCGTGATGAACAGATTGGCCGGCCTGCCTCCTGCTTGGCCCTCTTGTTGTTGATCTGACGAACAGGCAGTGAATCTGAGCGCTTGACGGTTTGTTCGTGTGGTGGGAATAATTTATTGAACTGCAGACCATGTTAAGTCACCAGCCAAGCCACGCAAACATGAGTCCGCACATCCAGAACGCAAAAGTGATAATTCTGAAAATTGACTGGGATTTCGTGCATTTTCAAGAACAATTTTATCAACACGGAAGCATTTAAGATTTCACATTTTACAGTGTGAAGGGAGGGGGATTCCATAGATCCATAAGTCACGGTGATCAGTACAAAGGATATGGTCGATAGGGTCTTATCATGCTGCAGCAGCTGCACAGGGAAAGTGATATCACTGTTGGCGGGACGATTCAAACTGTAAACTTGTGGCAACCCACCAAATTATGAGGGGAAGGCCCTGATGGACCTGATGGTGTCCTTGCGCACACTCCATGAAAGACAACCGAGCTATATCGTGACCTTTTATCCTGCTCCCCTGAGGCCGCTGTAAGGCAGAGTTAAGTGACCGAAACGAACCCTCCCTCCCTCCGCTTCCCCTCTGCCCGGTATTCCGCGACGGTCATCCTCTTTTCTGCTGCGATTTATCGAATCTGACCGCAAACGGCGCAGGGGCCGACTTGGTCGGGGCTCAGCCCGGCCCCTCCCCGAGGCCGTGCACTTTCATTTCATTTTCCTCGCATTCGGGGCAGAAATCAAAAGCAATGCGCTGCCCGCTCTGTTCGGGGTCACGTGCCGCCCCCGGGCCGCCCCCAGCCGCCCCCGGGCCCAGAGCAGCGAGGGTGGGGCGGAGCGGCGTCCCCGGCCAGTTACTGACAACGGGGCAGTGTTGAAGGAACAAGGCGGACGGCGCGTGTGCCCTCACACTCCTCCATAGGAAAGAAATGTACCCTGCCTGGACTCTTCGATGTAACAAGTTCATCCTATATTAATACTAATGAGGTGATGAAGCAAACGTGTGAAATAAAAATAAAAGAAATAAAAACAAACATCCAAAAACGCCCCGCATATTCCTTTCCGCGAAATAAACTAATTTAACAATTAAAACGAAAAATGAGTCACGCTGCGTGCGGAATAATGCGAAAATTTTGTTTGACAGTAATAAAACTGTGCTCGAGTACGTCGTCGTCGCGCAAGCGCGGTCACGCTTCCCCTCTCACTCTTAAGTGCGCCTCCCCTCCCTTTCCCTCTCCCTCCCTCCTCTTCGCCTTTTAATTCCTCTCGCATTTTGTCTTAATTTTCCCACTCGGTCGCAGGGGAGGGTCCCCATTGTGGCCGCGTTCTGTTACTTACAAAGGATGAATATTGATTGCGGGAGTGTAAGCGAGTGCGAGCGAGGGAGAGAGCGCCCAAAAGTGAGCGGGAGCCAAGACATTTAGCCGGCAACAAAATATCTCGCAGGTTTTCCTAATACAGTCACGTTCTGAAAATTTTTAACTCAAGGGGGCAGTTGAATGGTATGAAGCGGAAGAAGGGGATAAGTCCATGGTTTTAACGCCAGACTTATCCCGTTCTTCCGCTTCACCATTAGACATTCTGATGTACAATCTGATAATGTGTTTGGGTGGAACGTCTAAACGCTCCAGTAGCCAGCACGTCAGAACGTCTTATGGTGGCGACTGAGCGAACAGACTGAGCAACATTTCACAGTTGGAACAGTCAAATTTTTTTCGTCGTTGGCGACCGAACATTGTTTTTTTCAGAGTGGAGGTCACGCGAGAGCGTTATTCTCGGCGCGCCTCGCCCTTCGCGATCACCTGCAGTCATTAACCCACATGTGCGTGTCAGCAGGGCCTCGGCGCTCGCGAAGGACCCGCACTGATCTATCTCGTGACGCGGTTATTTTCAGCATTTAAAAGCAGGTTACGTATACAAGAAATGTTAGAAAAGCACTAAAAATGATTTTTAACCTTAAATAAAATAGATAGTTTTCCACATGATTATCATTGTTGAGGGACAAGTCAGGTACCGTATTACCAGTAAGATTCAGGTTCGGTGAGTTACGGTAACTTACAGTAATATTTCATAGGGGACGTTGTTGTTGCGATACAGCTTACAATAAGGGGGTACCCCTAAAAGCCGAACTGCGGCATTATATCTGGTTGACCGCTTCTCGATGACATATCCTTCCTCGCTGTTATTTGGGGACGTTTCTGTTGTTTCTCTCCCACTTTTTTTTTTGTCCTATACTTTTATTCCGCTAGTTTTCTTCACATGGACAGGCGAAGGGAGCAGCACCCATCAGTCGCGGGCAAAATCAATTTGCCATCAAACTAAAGGTCCAAATACAGCGGGCTTGTAATTGCGCTGCATGGGGCCGGCGGCCGGGCGAGGCGGGGCGTGGCGGGGCGCCGACAAACAGATCGACAGATGTCCCCGCCGGGAAGACGCGCGGACACGTGCGTACTCTCTCTCTCTCCCTCCCCCCCCCTCCCTCTCTCTCTCTCTCTCTCTCTCTCTCTCCTCCGGGGCGGGGGGGGGGGGGGGGGGGGGGGGGGAGGGGGCGTCCAGGTCAGAGCCCAGCCCAGTGCCCGGCCGCGCATGAAGCACGGACCGAAACCGTCGTGACGTCATAGCGACGCTCTGCACGGCGGGTGGGATCGTTTTGTCTCGGGGAAAAATTACGGTGTCGCCGCTGGGATGAAAAATCGGAGGGAAAGAACTTCGGCGGCAGTTATTGAAATTGGTGCTTTTTAAAAGAGGAGGGTAGACATTTAAAACACAAATGTGAAAAGGTTTGTGAATACATATCAAAATAATTATTCCGGCAGATATTTTATTGTGCTGGCAGTAAAAGAGAATCGAGGTAGACGACCTGCACTTGTGCTTACCTGAACTAGCTAGCCGACTACTTGTGGGGCCGAACATCTGATAGGGATCTGCGAAAAAGAGAAAGGAGCGATTAAAATGATGAAACGACAGAGACAGTGTAGTGTATACACGACGCATCTTGGCCGCTGCAGCTGTATGCTGGAAACTTAAATGCAGCCATAAAACTACTCTCTGCAGAGAGCGCTCCCGGTCCGCCCCATAGTGGCCTCTGTGTGTGTGTGTGTGTGTGTGTGTGAATTTGTGTGGCCAGAGCTAGGGCTGCTATGCGGCCGTGAAGGCAACATACCACAATGACGGGGCGTGGCGGGGCGTGGCGGGGCAGGGT